GGGGGGGGGGGGGGGGGTGTCTGGAGGGGAATATTATGCGGCCGTTTAAAGGAATGAACTTGAGCCCTTGTGGGCTGTTGGTGAGAATGTACAACGATGCAGTCAGCTGTTGGTGAGAATGTGCAACGATGCAGCCGCTGTGGAAAACAGTGTGGAGGTTCCTCAGAAAAATAAAAATAAAACTACCCTACATTCCAGCAATCCCACTGTGGGGGATATACCCAAAAGTATCAAAAGTGGGGACTCCTGAGATTTGAACAGCCATGGCCATAGTAGTGCTGTTCACAATAGCCAAAAGATGGATGCAGCCCAGTGGCCATCGACAGGCGACTGAACAAACAAAACATCCAGCCTCAAAAGGAAGGAAATTCTGACACGTGACACAACATGACTGACTCTAGAAGGCACTGTGCTCTGTGAAATAAGCCAGCCACAAAAGGACAAATACTGGAGGCCTCCACTTCTGCGAGTTCCCTAGAGTGGTGACATTCATAGAGACAGGCAGTAGGAGGGCAGGTGCTGGGGCTGGCGGGGTGGGGGGAGGGGAGCTGGGGGATAGGAGGACGAGCGAGCTCTGTGGATGGAAGGTGGTGACGGCTGCACACCATGAATGTGCCTCTGCCCCAAGTTGTACACTTCACATGGTGAGCATGTGACATTTAGGGGATGTGGATGCCACCACAATTTTTAAAAATAGTCTGGGATCGCTGACAACCCTGGGGCACATGGCAGCAGAAGGGACACACCCCCAAGTCCTAGGAGGAGACAGGCTGGCCTCTGAGACAAGAGGGCCTGGGGGCTCAACTTGGCCTGTTTGGAGACATCAACTTTCTGCTCATGGAAGAAGCTCGCGCGGCCCCAGGAGGCTGGCCCTGGCAGCAGGGAGAGTGCCACTTTCTCTGTTCCTTATTCCCATGTCCTTCCAGAGCAGAACTGAACCCAGCTGCGAGCACGCTCTGGGGCAACCTGGCTTCCTCTGAGGGGCCGGAAGCCACAGGGAGCCATGCGCTACCCAGCCACACTGCTCCTCATCTTCCTGGCTAGTGGGGCTCAGGCCTTTCGCATCTGTGCCTTCAATGCCCAGCGGCTGACACTGACCAAGGTGGTCAGGGAGCACGTGATGGACACCTTAGTTCGGGTAGGTTGATCGCTTCGGGGAAGCTGCGCCCCTAAGGACCATGACCTAAAGCCCCAGCCCTGCCTGACCAGGGGTATGTCCCAGAGAAGAGGGGACGTGAAGAGATGTGGTGCTGAGAGGCAGAGCATGTGTCCTACCTGCCGTGGGCCTCAGTCTCCTTCTCTGTAAAATGGGTGGGGTGTGGGTGGGGATGGCAGTCAGTCTTCCGTGTCCCACTGCTTTCTGTGGGCTGTGGCCAGCGAGCCCATGACACTCTTAGCCACACCAGTGTCTCTCAGGGCAGGTGGCACTGAGTAGGGCTGGCCTTCCTGGTGTCCTGCAGATCCTGGCTCGCTGTGACATCACGGTGCTGCAGGAGGTGATGGACTCTTCTGACAGCACCACTTCCCTCTTGCTTCGAGAACTCAGACGGTGAGAAAGTTCTGTGGTCTGGTCTGATCAGGGCCTCCCCAGAGCCTCGGCAGGGTCTGACCCTGGCTTCTCCTTTTCCCAGCAGATTTGATGACTCTGGGCCCTACAACGCCCTGATCAGCCCCCTGCTGGGGCAAAATGTGTACAAGGAGAAGTATGTGTACTTCTATCGGTAAGCACAGGAGTTGGCCCTTGGCCCTGATGAGGTGGCCCATTACTCCCAAGGGCCACAGGGTCCCCCACTCCATGGACACCTCACCTTCTCTTCGCAACAGTTTTCCTCTTGGCCTTCCCCATCGGCTGCCCCAGCCAGTCTGTCCTGTAGGAGTGTGGGCCCCTCTGCCCCTCCTGTGCAAGGGCTTGGGGCATGGCTGGCCCCTCTGTGGCTTCTGGGAAGAGGCTCAAGGGGGCAGTTGTGGGCCTTGAGTAGATCTGAATCCCAGGAACGGCCCTAAGGCCCTGGGGGGGACGGGCTGGGGGAGCCTTTGGAGTTACAATGGAGAGGGCAAGGGGAACTGTCAGGGGAGAAGATGTTTCTCTAGATAGATGAAATTATATGGTGCCCAGAATAACTGGGCAGCCTGCTAGGTATGTGAGAGAACGGAAAACATGTCCCCACATGCACGCCCGTCACGCATCACAGCCCAACGTGGGAATGTCCTCCAACCGCCAGATCAACCGAATGGGGTCTACCCACACAACAGAGTATGATTCAGCCAGGAAAACAGGAATGACACATAGGCATATCATGAATGAACCTGCAAAGCACTGTGCAGCCGGGCGCGGTGGCTCCTGCCTGTCATCCCAGCACTTTGGGAGGCTGAGGTGAGAGGACTGCCTGAGCCCGCGGCTTCGACACCCGCCTGGGCAACTTGGCCAGACCTCATCTCTACAATCAATCAAAAAATCAGCCGGGCGTGGTAGCGCGCACCTGTAGTTCCACCTGCTTGGAAGGCTGAGGCGGAGGGATCGCCTGAGCCCAGCAGGGTGAGGCTGCGGTGACCATGAGTGTGCCACTGTCCTCCAACCTGGGTTACAGAGCGAGACACCAACAAGGAATCAAGGAAGGAAGGAAGGAAGGAAAAAAAACACTGTGAAGGAAAGGAGCCGGTCACACGTCACAGATCATTTGATTCCATTCGTGTGGAATATCCAGAGCAGGCAGATCTACCAGATAGAGAACAGGCTAGACGCGGTGGCTCATACCTGTAATCCCAACACTTACTTTGGGAGGCCGAGGCGAGAGGATATCCTGAGTCTAGGAGTTCAAGACCAGCCCAGGCAACTTGGCGAGGCCTTGTCTCTACAATAAATCAAAAAATCTGCTGGGTATGGTGACACATGCCTGTAGTTCCGGCTATTTGGAAGGCTGAGGCAGAAGGCTCACCTGAGCCCAGCAGGTCGAGGCTGCAGTGGCCATGAGCGTGCCCACTGCACTCCAGCCTGGGCAGTCGAGTGAGACTCTGACTTAAAAAACAAAGCAAAAATAGATAGAATATAATGTTTCTTTTGGGGCAATGCTTCCCATCTCTTGGTCCTCCCAGGTCACAGAAGACACAGGTCCTGAATTACTACGTGTACGACGACAAGGATGACCTCTTTGTCCGGGAGCCCTTTGTGGCCCAGTTCTCTTTGCCCAGCAAGGGTAGGAGGGGAAGAAAGGTGGGCCTGGTGCATGGGAGCAGGAGGGGGGTCCGGCTGGCTCCCCTGGGGGCCTGGTTACCTGGAGGGGGCTGAGGCAGAAGGGCTGGGAGCGGGTGGCAGCCCTCAGTCTCGGGGCCTTGCAGTCCTTCCCAGCCTGCTGCTGGTCCCGCTGCACACCACTCCCAAGGCCGTGGAAAAGGAGCTGAACGCCCTGTATGACGTGTTTCTAGACGTCTCCCAGCACTGGCAGAGCCAGGTAGGGCTGGCAGCTTGCACGGGAGGGACGGGGACAGGACGACCCAGCAACTGGGCCCGACTGCTGCTGTGTCTCTAGGATGTGATCCTGCTCGGGGACTTCAACGCTGACTGTACTTCACTGCCCAAAAAGCGCTTGAGCAAGCTGGCCCTGCGGGCCGAGCCCGGCTTCCACTGGGCGATCGCCGACGGGGAGGACACCACAGTGCGGGCCAGCACTCACTGTGCCTATGACCGCATCGTGCTGCACGGGGAGCGCTTGCAGAGCCTGCTGCGCGCCGCAGCCCCCTTCAACTTCCCCGGGAGCTTCCGGCTCACTGAGGAGGAGGTGAGGCAGGGGGCCAACAGCGGGAGGAGGGAAGGAACGGGGTCACAGGGAAGCCCCCTCAGCCCTGGGCACTGATGCTTTGTCCCATCACCTGCCCTCAGGCCCTCAACATCAGCGATCACTACCCCGTGGAGGTGGAGATGGAGCTGAGCCGGGCAGCACACAGCATCCAGCCTCTCCACCTGGCCACTCTGCTGCTGCTGTCACTGCTGCTGTCGCTCCTGCCCCCTCACCTGGGGCCTTAGGCCTGCTGCCCACAGATGTGATGACGACACTGCCTTTGGCCTTGCCTGCTCATCACATCCTGGGGCGGCAGCCCTCCTCCGTCTGCCTTGTTTCATTTGACGCAAGTTCTTTGGTTGGGCTCAGGCACTCATGCCACCTCCCCCCAGGTGGTGTCAGGAGTGGAGACAAAGCAGCCGCCGGGCTGGGGGAGGGGAGAGCTCCGGAGGCTTCTTAGCCAAACTCCTGCAGGGCTCAGAAAGGGGGAATCACATGCTCCAAGGATGTTATTATATGACACAAAGGAAACTTCCACGATGAGAACAAAAATCCAGGCTGGAGGGATCTCACACGTGTGCAGCCAACGTGCCGACAGGCTGCCTTTCCTGGGTCCGGCATTCACGTGAACCACCGAAAGGAAAGCAAGACGACCTGCAAGGAGGGTAATGAGCAGTACAGCAAGGCCCGCAAAACCAGTGGACAGCGGGAAGTGCTTAAGCCTATTGTACTCCAGCGATGAACAGCCTAGAAACAGCCCTGTTCCTGCCGCCCAGGGGTGCTGTTGTCCACACTGGCACGTGCCTCTGTGCACACAGCAAGGCCAGAAGTGCACACAATACCTGGGCCGGGCAACCCCCTCAGGTCCGCTCCCACTATGGGAGCTTTTCTGTCCTCTCAATAAATCCTGCCTTCTAAAAAGACACCCAAAAGAGCAAACCTGAGCCCGTTACCTAACCTGAATAGCGACTGTGGGAACCCACGGATGTCCAGAAGAGGATATTTGACAAGTCATCCGTCTAGGGTGTTGGTGAAACAGGGCCTTTCTTTCCTCATCCTCCATTCCCCCAAAGAACAGAGCTCAGTAAAAAAACCATTGGGATGCCAGGACTGTTCAAGTGTTAACCATAATCGTATTTTTGGTTTGGAACCATCTCCCCCGAAGAAATAAAGCAAATTAAAACTTCAAAAATGGCTGGGCATGGTGGTTCATGCCTATAATCCCAGCACATTGGGAGCCCACAGGTTCAAGACCAGCCTGGGCAATACGGTGAATCCTTCTCTCTACAATAAATCAAGAAAAAGTTAGCCAGGCATGGTAGTGCACACCTGTACTTCCAGGCTGAAGCAGGAAGGATCGCCAGCACCCAGGTCAACCCTGGGGTGGCATTGAATATGCCACTGCACTCCAACCTAGGTGATGGGAGTGACTCCAACTCAAAGTTGCTATAAAATACAAATATAGAAAAACCATAAAAGTCACCAAAAAACCAGAGGCCTCTTGTAGGCCACAGGATTGAGCCAACATGTGCCAGCCCTGGAACCAAAGGCCTTCGGGGCTATTTTCCCTGGGCCTAGAGGTGCCAAGTGAGGGGGAAGGGACCTCTGGAAATTCAAGCCCTGAATTTGCTGGGTAGGTAGGGCAGAGGGAGACAGAAATAGGGCCAGGACAACCCAAGAACCTGACACTCGGGTCCATGCCCAGCACAACTCACCCCTACCCATTTCCCAAACACTGCTTGGTAGGGGGTTCCACAGGGGATGGCCCAAGACCCCTCCATCCCCATGGAGTATACCGGGGCGGCAAGGATTGTGCCACCCTTCACCATCCAACTCTGGGCTGTAATGTTTTGCAACCTACTGCCTAAGTTGTGGGGGAGGTCAAGGCCAGTCCTCACCCTTTGTTCCCTCATTAACCCTGGTGAGTTGTCAGCCTGTTTCTGAGTGAAAGCCCAATGACCCCAGTGTTCCCAGAGATCCTTCCCCCCAGTGCAGATGCAAAGACAGATAAACAGGAAGCAAGATTTATTGATATGGGGACGAAGAGCCAGCAGAGTGAAAGTCTTCATGAGTGCAGGGCCCGCCACTTGTCCAGGGGGCCGCGATTGGGGATGTATTTGACCCCACAGCCATCTGGGATGAGCCGCTTCTCAGCCACCATGTCTTCAAATTCATCTGCGTTAAACTTGGTAAAGCCCCACTTCTTTGAGATATGGATCTATAGAGGAATGGGAAGAACTGAGTCAGGGGACCTGGGGTACAGAGACACGGGAGGAGAAGGGGTCTATGTAAGTACTGCTCACCTTCTGACGGCCAGGGAACTTGAACTTGGCCCTGCGTAGAGCCTCAATCACATGCTCCTTGTTCTGCAGCTTGGTGCGGATTGACATGATGACTTGGCCAATGTGCACCCTGGCCACGGTGCCCTGGGGCTTCCCAAAGGCACCTCGCATTCCTGTCTGGAGCCTACATTGGGGATGTGGCAAGGTCAGACATGAACACACACTGGAAAGGGCTGTCTCCAAGGTCCCTTAGAGCAACCTATACAAGAAACAGGCTGCGTACACTACCAAGGAAGCTGCTGTTTGCAGCCATTGCACACCGGGTCCCTACGAGGAAAGGAACACGGTCGGCTTACTTGGCTGCAGAGAACAGAGAACCCCACAAAGAACCACTGGGAGGACCTGCAAGGGGCCACTGGGCCCATCTGAGCTCTCCACTACCTGCTTGCCGACAGATGGTTAGCACCAGGCTCAAAGCAAGAGCTACTCCTACAAGAGGTATCTCCCCCACCTGCAGCCAAGAGGCTGTGAAAATTTCATTATGGTGCTTTCTTGTCTGGTAGCACCCACGTTTTCAGTTAGCAGAAAGGGAGTGCTCATTGGAAGCCACTTGCCAGCCACACCCTTTATCTCCCACTAGTGAGCCTCTCTGGCTGTGTATGTGGGGCCACCCCATGCCCTGAGGGATAATCCAAGCCTAACAGACACCCCAAACTGTGGAATAATGCCTAAAAATGACCGAGACTAAGCTCACCTGTCAGCCCCAGCACAGGACAACATCTTGTTGATGCGGATGACATGGAAGGGGTGAAGCCTCACTCGGATATGAAAACCATCTTTGCCACAGCTCTTTACCATGTACTTGTTGGCACAAATACGGGCAGCCTCCAAAGCTAAGTGGGGGAAAGCAGGCAGCAGAGTGAGACAAGGTGGTAGAGAACCACTTACCACGACTGTCCCCAACTCTCGAGGAAAGTGTGTGGGCTCGGGGAGATGACAAACAACCCTGCCTCACCTTCAGAGGACAGCTGTTCATATTCATCCGACACCATGTGGCCACAGAGTGGGAACTCATCTACTTTTGCCTTCTTCCGTCCCAGGTCAAAGATGCGAATCTTGGCATCTAAAAAAAACCTTGGGTAAGTGTGTGTGGGAAGCCGTGGAGAGCAGAGACAGCTGCCAAACCAACTTGGGAGCTCTCCCACTACTTACCAGGAACACCTCGGCAGAAGCGAGATTTTGGGTATGGCTTGTTCTTGCAATACCGGTAACTGCAGGGGAGAAAACAAGCAAGTTTGGTGGAATTCACAAGGAAACAGGAACCTTGACTGCTCCCTCACAGAATAACCGGAGGAGGGATAAAAGGGGTGGAAAGTGCACAAACATCTCGATTCGGGGAGAAAGACTGAAATACAGCACCATGGTCACAAGAGGTGCCACAACAGAGGACACCCAGGACAGAAACATAGAATTGCTGTAACTTCCTTTTCCTGTAGCTTTACACTTCCTAACGCCTTGAAATATACCTAAGAAAAATCCTTTTTCTCAAAGCATTGCATACGACACCGTACAATAGTTGAACAGTTCGGGTCACCCAATAAAAAGTCTTTCAGGCACGTGGCACCAAGTCCGACTCCGAGCCACGAGAAGGGTGCCTGGCGCCCCCTGTAGGGGACAAGAGGCAGCTGGGTTCGCGGTTCCCGAACGGCCCTTCGCGTCCGATGGTTAAGACCGAACGCGGTACGTCGCCCGGAAAAAAAGACAGGAAATGCACAAAGGCCCCGGGAGGGGATCAAGGCCAAAAATGAGGCGGATTTGCAGGACAGAGTGTGGGATACAAGGCGGACGTCGCTTTCAGGCAGGCAATGGCGCGGCACATGCAGTTCAGGGTCAAAATGGGGGTAGCGCTGTGGAATGCCATGAGCTTTTAAAGAAAAGAGATAGATGGTACAGGGAAGACTAAAAGTGAACCGGAAGACGTTAGGAAATACAGGGGGTCAGTTCCCAGGGAAGGCTCGCCGAGAGAGGCTCCGCCCCACGGTAGTTTTCAGCGGGCAAAAACAGTTCTCCCTCCCGATTCTTCCCAGCAGTGAAACTCATGGATTCGGCACTCACCACCGGGCGGGGCGGCGGCCCATGGCGACACCAGGATCTTCGGTGGCTGCAACGAAAAAGAGAAAAGTCGGAACACAAGACGAGAACAGGCCTCACACCAGGGAGGAGCAGCAATGGAACTGGCTGAGCTCCCGTACGCGCCTACTCACCGCGCCGAAGGAAAAGGCGCTCCCACGCCTGCGCGTGCCTTATATAGACGGTCTATCCTAGCGCGTAGTAACCATAGAGTCTCGGCGAGGACGGTTGGACGCTCTATCAGACGTCCCGACCATAGACACAGTCACATTCTGCGCCTGCGCCTACGCCCGTGCCCGGGCGATGTCCAGCACATGCGCAGAGCGGAGAGGCGGGTGGGCACATGAGCCGAGGGCGGCCGGCTGACGAATGGGGCTTCGCCACATGGCGCCAGCAGCCCGCTTCCGGCTGGCCATCTTGGGCGTAGAGCTCTTGCCCTGGGCTTGGGTGTAACTCAGGCAGACGTGAGTTCCGAGAGTGGAAAGCAAGGCAGTACCGCCGGGTGGGCCTCGCAAATGTCCCCAGGCTCGTGTGTCCCGGGACACGCGCTCCGTGTCTCCTCTGCGCTCGGGGGCCCGGCGGAGAAGCTCCATGCTGGGGCCTGGACCTGCGTTCCTTTGTCAACCGGGATACCGGAGCGGGAGACCCTCCCCTCAAACCCCTTCCCCCGATTGGAGAGGCTGGAACAGGCCTTGCTGTGAACCTTGCGTTGTGTCCCCGTTTCCCAGAGACCCCTTTCCAGAGAGGTCGCGCCTTCTCGCAGGAAGGAGGCCTAGGAGAAACCTCCGTGGATATCCGCGACGCGGGTACCCCGCGCGCACTATTGGGCCGAC